CACCCTTGGAAGGCTAGGGCAAGGGCAAATACTATTTATATGAGATATGAATAGATGAATTTGTATAGAGTTTTTGGTGTGGGAAATAAAGAATATGCCTAGGTATTTATTTAAAAAAATTCTGGAATTTTTGGTTTTTTTTTTCCTTTCTTTTCCATTTTTTTTCAAATTTTTTTTGTTGCTGACGTCATTATGACGTCAGCATTGCATCATCCTGCCCAAGCAGCAGCTCGGGCTGAATTTGCCTGTGGGCTTGCCTGGGCTCGTGGGACCCAGCTCTTGCCCGGGCTGGATTTCCTGCGCTGGAGGGGGAAATGGGCTGGCGGGGGGCCTTTTGCCCAGGCAGGGCTCCTACGCTGGAGGTGCTCTTAATGCTTATGACTTCAAGGGAAGGAGGCAGACCAACATCTAGAAAAGAAACCAAACTTGAACATCCAAATATTCGAAGATCTTGAAGAACCCAATGAGCCTTTGAAGAGTGGAGGCAGGGGGGGTTTGCTTTTCTTGCAATTTAGGGCTTCAAGATGCAAAGAATTGCAGTTGTGGAATTGACACTATTGGCAGCACAACCACCAGTGGCACCACCAATGTTGGTTATGATTTCTTAAGCTTGAAAAGTGGGGTTTTGGATTACAGAAGCTTGGAGATGAAATGAGACTGGTTTTTATGGTCATGAAAATATTGTTAAGCAATTTCAAAGAAATGGGGCCCACACCACGTAACGGAACGTCCTTAATACTGACGGAATGGGTAACGTGAGATAGTTTTTAAAAGTATATGGGGTATTTTGAGATGTTTCAAAGCACATGTGGTAATCTAAGACAACTTTGAAAGCACAAGTGCCATCTACATAAATAAGCCTTAATTTAATGGTACTTCTTGTTAGTCCCTAGGTTTTCCCTCTTCGTAAATAGCCTGGGCTAATGTTAATCTTGATGATGTATGGACCTGGGCGTGAACCTGCATACATAGAACAAGGTCAAAAGTAGGGCAGACTGGGGTGATCCCAGCTTGATCCCTCTTCGATGACTAAGTCAGAGGTTATTTGAGGTTGAAGATAACGAGAAATGGAGCTTTTACTATCAGATGAGTTATTACCTTTGTCCAGAGATTGGTGAGGGGTATTTATAGAAGGAGGAAGGTCATAAAGATCTTTTGGTGAATGGGATCTTCCTTCTCAATTGATTGAGTTACATTTAATGTTATGCTTCTGTTTCGCCTACATCCTTGACAGAGATCAAGGGATGGAGAGGCAGGAGAATAGGGATGGGAAGTGCATTGAATGCCCTTTTTGTATTATCAACCTGCTTCACTTTGGGCTTGAGGGGCAGGACGACACCTGGGCAAGAGTGGGATGTGCATTTAATCAATCTTTCTTGCCAGGCTATCCTATTAATGCTCTTCTGGATCAGGTTTTGGACTTGAGTGATCGGGTCAGTGTGTAGATTACCGCATAGGTCCCATCCTTGGCTTAATCATGAATATTTGATTGCTGACATCGAAGACATTTTATACGTGCTCGGGTCGGTATATACACAAATGACCTGGTCCATGAAAGACCTTCTAGTAGGCTCGGCTCATGATGATAGCATGCTCTATCAACACTTCTCTTCTTTCTTTTCCACTAGATTAGACCTCGTTGACCTTCTCTTTTCAATCTTAACATGCTACATATGTTTGAAAACTCGTAAAGAAACTCTAAATAGTAATAATAATAATAATAATCTACATTGCATTTAAAAGTAATTCTTTTTATCAAACAAAGAAGTGGGCCTCGTCAATGGGCCAAGTTGGGCTAGCCCAGCCCAAATTTAATGGGCTTTAAAGAGGAGAGAGAAAATAACGACGGGTCGGATCGAGTTTTTTCAGAAAATTCAACGCCCAAGCCCAAGCCCAGCCCATAAGTCGGGCTTTAAAAAGTCTATCGGGCTGGACCAAGTTAAGCCCAACAGGGCGAGCCTAAATGGGCCTATTTTATTTTGTATTTTTTTTTATATGGATTTTTTTGTCAATTCTTTTTTTTTTCTTCTATGTTTTGGTGTGCTTCTATGTTTCCTTTTTTTTCTTAGTTCTCTATTTACATTTGTCTAATGTTTATGTCTCCATTTTTTTCTTTGTTCATAACTTCATAGTTCTCTTCTTTTTTCCCCATAATTATAAAGATATAGTTATACAATTGCAATATTAATAAAATCATATTTTATCCCATACTTTAGTTTTTTTTATAGTTCTTATAATGATAATAGATAATGATTTTCTCCTTCTTTCATTTAACTTGGATTTTTTTATATATATTTATTTATGTGAGCCCGTGAACCGAGCATTTATGGGCGGGCTGGGTCAAGCTTTCTTGAGGTCAAACTGGTCGAGTCTATGGGCTGGGCCAGGCTTTAGACACCCAAACCCAAGCTTGACCCACTCAATAACGGGCCGAGCCGACCCAAACCCATAACGGGCTAGGCCGGACTTTTTCTCAATGGGCCGGGCAGGGCCACATCGGCTTGCGGGCCTAATGATGACCCCTACAAAGAAGGTATAATATCAATTTTGACTTTATTATGTTTTACACTTTTAGTAAGTACTTTTAGTTATTTAAATATAAAATAAAGGTATCAATTATTTATTGATCTAGTGTGTTGAGGTAAAATGCATCTAGGCCAAGCTAGGTGGTTGAGCTAAGCTCAAGTCCAAGCAATTAGGCTAAGCTCGAGTCCAAGGAGTTGAGTTGAGCTGAGCTCAAACCTAATTGCCACATATATTTCCGATCTAAAGTCAGATGGGTTTGTAGGTCCATTGGTTCATGAATTTAGGCCTAAGATGGAGAAGGCTTACCTCAACCAATTTTCGTGGCGTTCATTTAGAAGACTCGTAGCCTTGTGAGTGCTAGGGTATTTCAGGTTCACCAAGAGGCAAGGTCCTGAGTTCGAATCCTAGCATCTGTGGTGTGTAAATTTGATATATTATCGCCCCTCTCAATAGGAAAGGTCCTTAAAAAACAAAGACTGTGTGTGAAGATACATGCTCTACCACTTGATCTATAACTCTTCATGTAGAATTCAATTATCCACGCAATACAATTTAGCAAAAACAAGTTTTAATATAAGTGAATTCAAATAATAAATGTAACTTACAAGCTCATATTTATTAAAATTAAATAAAAAAATACGAATTTTCTTCGAGCGAACAAAAATGATTAGGGAAAAGTAGCATACTTACAAGTAATAAAACGAGTAAGATTTCAAATATACATACGTAATTCGCAGAGCAGTCTTCCAGCCAACAAGAACAAATTTACGAGTGGGAGCAGTGCAGTAGTTGATGTTCAACTAAGTTAGCTTCCGCCATATGGATCCCTTGGAACTTGATAAACACTTCACTCTTGGAAAAACAAAACCTGATTTTGCTGGGTTCCCATTGACAAGAGAATTCTCATATATTTCTTTGCACTCTTGTACGACCTGTTTGACAAACAAAAACATTACACCTCCAGGAAAATGCATGATTTTAATTTTATTAATTCTTCCTTTGCTAAATAATTTGATTTTGACATATAGAGAAAAAGAAAAAAGGGAATCGAAGCGCCAGGTTTGCTCATACCTCCTTCGCATCCTTCCGTGGTATGCCTTCTCGCAATGCAACAAGCTTCTCTACAACCTCAGGCTGCAACAGAGAGAATCAGACTACTTTGGCCAAATTTTTTTAAGACAAAGATTTGCTGGAAAATACAGCAGAATATTGTTTCTTAATATTTACCGGACAGTCAGGTTGATGTTCAAGAATATTTGTGTAAATGAGGGTGAAGGTATCCAGGCTCTCTGCAGAAGCAAGTTCTCTCAAATCACTCAGTATTCTGACTCTGCTTTCAACTTTCTGTAGCCAAGTTCATGAAATCAGAATGGAAAAGCCTTGGCAACGAAAAAGAGAAATATATCCCACCAATAAATGGAAAATATCTTGTCAGAATGGAAATATCTTTCACGAAACATTAAAAACAAGGATCAGCACTTACAGAAACACTTAAATACTCCCTAAAGAAATCCATCAGAACCTCTTCATCTAATCTCATCCTCTCAATGGTCTCTTCCTTGATGTAGTTCTTCTGCAATCACAAGCATCGTTAACACGATTAAGTGAGAGAATAGTATGGAAGAATTCATGCTATACTGTCCAACCTCATAAATTAAACCTGTGTTAGAAGATGATCAACGTAAACAACCACTGTTTCCTCCAAACAAGCCTCAACAAATCTCCTGAATGATCTTTCTTCAATATACCTTAAATACAGAGAAGTACAACCCAGAAAAGCATAAGTCTTTTAATTTGAAGTAGACGTACGGAAAAATAAAAAACAAAACAGAAACTTGTTATTTGTTCAATTATTATTTGACTACGATGGAAACGAGTTGCAAGAAAAGAATAGACGTGATATGTGCAAAACATCATCATTTTCATCTACAGTTAAATATAAGAAGAAGTCAGATATAAGACTCTACCACTGAATCATGACAAACAGAGTTTAAACACCTTGAAATACCCAGCTTAATGTTAAACTTGTGGGTCCCCCTGCAGGATCAATTTACTGAGTTTTCCAAATTAGTTAAGAAGAATATTAAAACTATGGTCTGTGCAACTGATTATATGTTGGTCCCTTTTCATTCTCATTTTTCACAATCAGGTAGAGAATCTTAAACAGGCAAAATCTCAATGTCCAACCAGCACATGGTATCAAACTCCATCTCGCTATGGTGAAAATCCACATAATATGTAGAACAAAAAACCAATATTAAACGGAATCTTAATGCAAAAATTAATTTATTAATTGATTGAGTAATTAAGATGGTTGTTAAACAGAAGAGGGACAAACACACTAGATTTATGAACTTAGTCCTAATGCATTCCTCTTCACTCTCCATAACATTAGAGTTATTCCTATAAGAAAATACAGATTTACCATTGGCATTAGATTTATGTTTCATAGTGTGTAGAATAAATCAAGATTATAATGAGAAAATGATAAATGCACTTAAAAAAAATGAATACCAACGACTGAACAAAAGAAACTTACATCTTCACGTCTGCAAAATAATCACCAAAGGTTGCAACTAGATACTCAGTAACCTGTCCTTCACACCACTCTGAAAAATTGGAGAAGACAACACTTAAATGGAGGATCTTATATATAAGAAGAAAAAGTAAATTCTTAATAATAGCAATACTGACAAAAATTTATCACAAAAGGTTTATAAAGAACTATTATTTTCTCACGGATCACATTGACAGTTAAAGTAGTCATTCCTATAGGGGTGTTTTAGTCATAGTAATGTACTTTATTACCCTCTACTACTGTTGACCTATAGAGTGTTTCACTCATAATCATGTAAAATATTTTTATACAAGATTATAAATATGTCCACTTGCTCCCAGATTGAGACAAGGGAAAATGTTTAATGCCCCAACTTTTTCTCCCAACTTTTTTCCCAACCTATGTGGCACTTGATAAGCATACTCCCCCATTGCATTGAAAAATAACCATGTTGTAAGACCCAATGTGATAGTGCCACATTGTTTGGGGAAAAACAGTTAGGATAACAAGTTGGTAAGTGTAGCACTGTCCTCAGATAAGTGATTACCGCAAGATTGCTTACGTTAATCTCAATGTGGCATTTGAGTCCATTTGATGCTGTTTGGTGTTCCACAATATGGCTCTAGTACCACTTAACATACATAGAAATAGAACATAGTACACCTAATCTTTATAAGGAGAAGTCTGGTATACAAAGAAACTAAGTAATGGTTTGATAAAAGAGTATTTTCTTTTCTGATACTATGGGTAACTTACTAATAACCCTTCATCTTTGCTAAATATATTTTTAAACTTCAACCGAAGAGTAATTGCTGATCTTTAATGTTCCTACATGATCTTTTCACATTCCTCATTAATTTCTAAGTTTTCTCTTGTCCTAATTAATTTCTTTGTATTAATTTAATGCAATAAATGTTTTGCTTCGGCAGACTGGCTCCTATTCAAAAAGGAAGAAATGAGAGACAAGATGAGTCAGAGATATGAGTACATATGCAAGTGTCCTTAAAAAATAGCTTAAACAAGCATATCTTCAATTTGTTAAAACTTCAACACCAGACACGGAAGAACCAATTACCATATGAAAAAATTTTACTGGCAAAAGAGAAACAAGAACACATGGGAGCAGGCGAGCAGACACATGGAGGGAGGGAAATGGAAGAGAGAGAGAGAGAGAGAGAGAGAGAGGGAGAGGATGAAAAATATTGATTACAATAAAATTACTGCGACACCAGCGAGTAAATTACCTTACCCTTCTGATAAAGCTTGACAAGTAAATCCTGCACTCCTGGATCTTCAAAGATAACACTGACAGTTTGATGCACGGCTTCCTACCATCAATTAGGAAATATGATTAAAAACGGTGTGATCCACAGAAGATATGCAACATTTTAATACTTATATGTGACATGCATTTATGAGAAAATATAGTGGGGAGAGGGTAGGCCATAAGGGGTTCATAAAAATTTTTTTTAAGAAAAAAAAGGCAGCCATGCACGCTAAAGTTGGAACTTTTTACGAGGTATGGCACTATATCTTGATGAAATATCATAATAAACACAAGTTACAACATAGCAGCAGAAGATATGTGAAACATATGAAGAAAAAAAAAAACATAATATTCCGTACCAAAAAGAACACACTTCAACAGACAAAATACCTTTGCAACCTCTAAGAAACCTTTGCATGTGTCTTCAAAGTTGACCTGTACAAATGAAAAGGAAAAATTGATATGATCGTTGTAATCTCACAACCAACCCACAGTGCTACATTTATGCATCTTAAGTTGCTTACACATAAGACTTTCTAATTACAGTAACCTATTGAGGATCTTAGTTTGGCACGCTGTCTCTGTATCAATGTAGCCCCTATTTAGTGCAAGTCACTCAATAAACTCATTTATTGAAACCCAAAGGGACAGGCTCGGAATATTAGATCAGACTACTAAAGAAACAAATTACCTGGATACAACGAAGTTTTAAATAGAAAGATTGAAAACAAAGAAACACAGGGATAAAATAAAAACAACCAAGATGAATACAGAATGAATAAAAAGAACTAAGACGGATATGGTACCTGCTCAGCATAGTTTTGTGGAAGAGCTTCCAAAGTGCTATTACTTAGCTCCATTGCAAGATCATAGCAGCGCAAGTTGTTGTTAACCTGCATACAAATTTAATAGAAAAGCCCAATAGTAGATTACTTTTCATCCGATCAATAAAATACAGAGACAAATGGTAAATTGTAAGAGATTCACAAACCATTGCGCATAAAGGTTCCAAACCAATTTCTGAAGCAGGTTCTTCGAGTCTCTGCCTTTCAGCAGCTTGAAAATCAATCATTACCTGCAAAATCACAAAAACCAATACTACAGAGCATTATTATTATTATTATTATTATTATTATTAAGCCAAGTGAAGAAGCATCATTAAACCTTTTTTTCTGTAAGAATTATTAAATCAGGGCAACCCGAGGAAGAACATTAGCACATCCAGGAAACTTAGAGCATTAGCAAATTAAGAGAGGGAATCAATACGCATCTAAGATCAGTATAGTGACAGACACATTATGTACGCAACTTTCTATCAAGGCTGTACCAGTTTAGATGGCACACCGATGAACTTGCGATATTTTATTCAAGAAAAGGTGTTAACATTGCAATAAAAGTTATTAACTGCACTATACCCAACAAAAAGAAACAAGCTGGTAGAAATCATGAAATCTCACTATACTAGTAATTAGCATGAAATCATAAATGAAATGACCTGAATAATTGCCAAGGCAATTCTGTACAGCATGAGATCAGTGCTATTATCACGAACAATTTGCACTTGCTCTCCTAGGATCCTGAATAAATCAACAGCAGCTGGTGTATATAGCTTCCCATCTTCTGTTTTCTTTGGTGGCTGTACTTTATCGGCTTCTAAGATATTCAAGTACCATTTCTAGAAAGTGTATGTGCAAAATTATAGTAAGATGTCAGAATTTTACACCAAAAAAAAAAACTAAAATAAAGCGCAAGAAAATTATAAGTAAAATATTGTTACCCTTGTTGTAGCTTGCATTCTCTCAACATATGAATTCATAAGGGGATCCATGGAACCACTCTCAGAACACACTTGAGCAAGGGACTCATCAACCCCAAGCCCAATCAGATTTTCTTGGTATTCAACCACCCAACCAGTTACCTAGTTCCAAATAAGAGAGGACAATGCAAATAGGAACTAAGAAATTTAAATTGTAAGATGAAATTCTGTTACATGAAGAATAGACAGTAATGAAAGATACTTTCACAAGTAAACTACTACCAGCTCAAGTCAAACCAAATGTCAAGGAAATATACCGATAGCAATGTAGAATAGGATGGCTAAAAAACTATATGAAACCTGTTAGAGGATAAAAATATTTTTGCAACCCTTTTAGGATTATGATTAATACATTTCATTCTCTACCTATTTTTATCAACCCATCTAAACCCAATTTGCTGGGATCAAAATTTCGTATTGTGAGTCTTATTACTTCAATTTTACTTACTTTTCACATAAAGAACCTTGAATTTTTTTTTTTTTACTTTTAATTACATAATGACTTCAACCTAGGATCTAGTCCTTTCCCCACCCCTCCCAATGACTTGAGCTAAATATTTGGATGTACTTACTACAGAGTATAGCAGAATGAACAATCTTTGTCAAATAAAAATAAAAAGATAAAAGAAAATATCGAATACAATCTCAGCACCATTCCACATTTCTTAGAATACACATGTTTTCAAGCAATAACAGCGCAAAAAATTTGATTCTTTGGGGACAATGTACTTTGAAAACATATAAACGAAGTGTGCCTATGCTAATAGGTCACCAATCAACCAGCTACTGTTTATAATTAGTTAAACTGTATAACCACAAGGTTGGTTCTCACAGAAAGCAAACTTTTCTGCATGTGAAATGTGAATTTGAAACAGATAAGCAATCAGAAGAGTACCTTTAAAATCTCTATGTTCGTCATTTCATTTGCCCTGTCACTGAGTAATCTAAGCATTTGAACGAATCGCTCAGTATACAGATTGACCATGAGTTGGAATATTTCATATCTGCCAAAATGAAGTTGCCATCAAATTGACAGAACATTTAACTAGGATAGTTTTCCAACAATAAATGCTTTCAGAATTCATAGTATGCTCATATGTGTAATATAGGCATGCATCCACTTTCTAGAGCACTTGATCCTTCAGATCAATTATGTAAGCTTGATATACAGTGTTGGCTTATTCCCTAACAATTCAAACTCCTGTTGTAAGGCTTAATCTAGCATAGTGTTTGAGTTCTGGGTTCAAAACCTCTCATTCCGCAGTCCCCCAGTTATCTATAAATTGTGTGTAGGATAAGTGTGTTTCACACGTGTAGGAAGAAACTAAATATAAGTTTTCTGTCTGTCTATCCACATGCAAGATGAAACTGCAGATGAGGAGAGAGTTAGCTTAATAATCATTGGCTGATTCCCTAATAGTTTAACATTTTGGATGTTGCGATAATCTAACAAATTAAAATGGACTTTGACAATTAACTCATTTCAGAGAGTCAACCTTATGACTAATAGCAGATATCGATAAGAAAAGACTGCACATGCACCGCTTGCAATGAATATGATTTCTGGTCTTTTATCTCTTTTGAAAGTACATTTGGGATAAGTAATTGTATGTCCATAGAATATTAGAATCTTTGCCAGGAAGGCATTAAGCTGCTTGTCTACAAGTAAAACAAGTAGTAGAAAGAAAACAAACTACAACCATTCCTTTTTATTTCCTCGTTTGGAAAACTCTAGAACCCCTATTCCCAAATTTTAACTCCTGTTCTTAGTTGTTAGATTCATTACTAGTGTTGAGAAGAAGTTTTCTTTGACCAGCATTTATAGTGATTCACACATCAACATTCTATTAGCTTTGAGCTTGATCAGAAAACAGTGTGCTGCATAAAAATTAACACTGTTCCACTTTCCAATTTTAAATCCCTTAATTAAAGTTTTTCTTCGGTCAAAATTCTGATCGAAAGAGTGAGAGCCATACAGCCTCTCTCTTGAGGTCTAACAACAAAGTAGAATATCATTTGGTATGCTAAGTCACTTCTGAGCTACAGTACCCTATCCAACTGTTACCACCAACAAACGAATGAAATTCTCACCAACATCAAAATTACAAAACATAAAGCGTTTTCCAAGGGGTAGAGAGAGATAACTTTGAACAAAAGGTTAAAATGACTTGAGGCATTTTGTTGTACAATAATGTTTGATGAAATTTGATTCTAAGATCTATCCTAGACCAAAGAGACCCTTTCAGAACCTGAGCCAAGGCAAACAGATGTAGTAACTCAAAGGTCATAAACCAAGGAAAACAGAGTGCAGACCTTGGGGGAAAACAAGGGGCCACATGGTCATATATATCTCCAAGCTCTTCTCCAATCTAAAACATTAAAAAGAAAAAGGAAGGTGAATACATCATAAAAGATAAGTAAAAGACAAGAAAACCAATCACTAACACCAACAAGTATTAACAACATGATGCTACACCAAATGTACAATTCAACAACCTTAATGAGAAACAAGCTAAAATGAAATCAAACATCATTAGAGGCCATACATCTCATAGGGTAGGAAAGGGTAAAATTATATGGAAATGAAGAAACGTGATTCCTTCTCAAACAGAATTTAACCTAACAAATAAAAGCGGCTCACATTTGTTATGGTAGAATGAAAGACTCCGAGCCTTAATTGCGCACAAATTCTGTCTAGTGGCAATGCAAATCACATTTGACGCAAGAAAGCAAACGCATTTAATGGAGGGGCTAGTGGGGAGAGCAGGTGTGGTGATTTCCAGTTTGCAATTTTCTGAAGACACTATATTGTTCTTGTCCGGGGACATGCAGAAATAGACCAACCTTTTATTAGTTTTGGAAGTTTTTGTGCATTGTTGGGTTTGAGAATTAACAAAGCCAAGTGTGCCCTAGTGGGTATAAATACACAAGGGAAAGAAGCGAACAGTTTAGAGGGTTACGAAGGTGATCATGGACTACAGAAATTTGGGACTTCCACTGGGAGGTAACCAGCGATCAAACAGCTTTTGGAATCTGGTGGTGGAGAAAGTAGGAAAAAAAACATTGGAATAATGGAACTTCTGTCAAGAGGAGGCAGATTAACTTTGATACAATCAGTTTTATGTAACTTGTCAGATGGGAGGTGGCTTCTCAAGTAAAAGGGCAGGGTAGGCCAGGAACTATTAATTTTGTTACGAAAAACAAGGATATATTTGGGAAGTTATTATGGAGATTTCCATTAGAAAGGGATTATTTAGTGCTATTGCCATTACGGGTGGGATGCTAAATATAGAGTGTTCAAGTCGCTGCCGTTGCAAAGACATGTCCCAAGACCATGATTCTTTTTCTTCTTGCTGTCAGTTTGTTGTGGCAAATAGGGAATGGGCAAGGTTTCGAGTTACCTTTTTTGTATAAAGATTGTCCAGCTTTCATAATGTTTCCCATTGCTCAATTCTTACTCAAATATTTTCTTCCTTTCAGTTGGGATTTTGGTTTACGAATAAATTTAAACAAATCTGAAATTAGGGAGATCACATTATTTTTATAAGAACAAATTTTATTAAATAAAAATTACAACCAGTTCAGACGACATGATGTCCCCCGAATAAGAAAACTAACTGCTAACAAATCTAATGAGAACATAATTGCAATGACTGGAAATTTTCCCTAAATAACAGCTGATGATACTTTAGGAGGTACTTCAGTGCACATGGTGAACCAGTGGAGAGAGAGGAAAACAGTAGGTTTTCTCCTCTGAACCATGTCGCAAGTGTTGCCCTTACCAAGAGCAATCTGCAACTCGTACATTGAGTGGTACTTTAGCCTTCCAAACCATGGAAGAGGGAATGAATGGTGAACATAAGAAGATTAAGAGGGGCTTTGAGAATGGGGTGGAGGCTTTATAGGACAGAGTACGATTTTGGTCTTCACTTTGGGCTTTAATGTCTTCTGAGTTTCAGCTTGGGACATACCATTTTCTTCTAGTTTCCTGATTTGAAAACAGCTGTTTTATAAGAGTCTAATTTGTGTTTTGAATCCTGATAATTGTTAGAAATTGTATCGTTTGCTTTGTTTAGGGTTTAGTTTTCATTGATGTATTGTTGTGGTAGACAAGTTGTCCATCGAATCTGTGATTTTCTTTGTTTCTAATGCAGATCTGCTTATCCACAAAATAAATAAATACAAAGCTCCACCTCCTATTTCTTTCTACCCAAATTACACAAAATACCAAAACTTTGATCCATATTCCCATTGTTTCAATAAGTTTTACCAATATTTCCCAAGATATCAATATTTCTGTTGATATTTCAAAATAATCAAACTTGCCCTGACATCAACCTTTACATTATTGATTCCAGACCACACAAAAATCAATGAAAAATCTTATCATACTATCAAGAAGATTAATAGTCAAGTGTGTGTACCGTTCGAGCTTCCTCTAATGCTGCCTTAAGGTCCTCGAAAACAAGCTGTTCCAGAAATTACAGTAAGAATAAGATATAGTAAACAAGAAGTCACGACAGTTTTCTCTCATCAATATGTGGCCAAATGATTATTTGGTACCTCTGTCAGAAGCTTGTTGAATCGTCCTTCAACAGTCTTCCTTATTTGCTCATAGCATTTGTCCTTATAGCCTTTGCCTTGAACATTCAATTTCTGCTGTGTCAGGTTTCTTGAAGAAGCCGTTGCCGTGGTAGACTTTCTGCAGGCCATAATTCCAAAATAATGCAATTAGATGCCAAGTATGGTTTGAAGTTTTATGCATGAAAAATCGGTACATTAGCATTATATTGGTTAATAGCATGAGAAGATTCATAAGATTCAAACACCAAGGAGAGAGATCATGCATAAAACTGAAAATCAATTCAAAACAGTTACTTGGCAGTTCTACGAGGATTTGCAATTGATGCCATGGCACCACCTCCTTCAGCCTCAGCTGCTTCTTCAGCAAGTTGTTGGTCAAGGATTTCTTGCATTTCAACAACCCTAGAAGAAGAATAGAATGGTTATGACACTAACGGATTACAAGAACTGAATAAAAGATAATGAACACCCAAAGGATTGCCATGTACACTCTCACTGTGAAATCACCATATGAAACCCACAATTTTATAAACAGAAAATATGGAACTCGGAGCTTTGAGAAAATACATAATGACCTCTAATTGAACCAGAAATTAGAATACAGTAGCAAGAAGAAGAAAAGGTTTTAAAGCCAAGGAAACAGGAGTAAGCTTTGTTGCCAAGACTCGAGTAAATCTTGTTTACTGGAAACAACTGTTTTTAGAAGGAATTTAGTACACAAGATAGAGTGGTTAGTTTTAAAAACATAGGTGAACAAATACATATGCAACAGATATTAGTAATTTTAACCGCTAAGGCTAAAGAAAAAAGTATACTTCAGCTCAGCATACAAGAAGACAATTACAGAAAATGTTTCCCTGATACATACCTTAAAGCACGAACCAATGTTGAAGGGCTGCAAAAAGGACAAAATGAGCATTAGATCAGGTAATAATTAGAACAACATAATATATATATATATATATATATATAGTCCCCTTCTATTGAGGATCCCTCAAATAATTTTATTTGAGGGACACCCCTTAGGGTACCCTATGAATATTTTTCCAACGATCCAAACCATCTATTTTTTAAGTCTACATTCACAGATCATCCTTGCAAAAAATTAGACATATAGGAAAACGTTTCGACATCCAATTCTGTCCTACAAAATCAATGAACACGATGCTTCAAGAAAGTACTAAAATTTCAGTAACACAATTGAGCAGTCAAACGATATCGGATTTAAGTGATTTTTTTGTAGAGATGATCTTTGAATGATTATCTAAATATAGACGGTTTGGATTAGTGAAATACAATGCGAAGTGGGCCCTACAAGAATGTCCCTCAAATATGCTAATTTGATGGATCCCACAATGGCATATATATATTAAGGTCTCAGGATGCTTCAATACGTTTGGTAATCTGAAACAATTATACATAAAGAAAGAAAATTAAGGCCAAAAATACTATGGAAAAACAGAAAGAATTTCTGACACTCTTACTCTGAAGACAACACTAAAAGCATCATAAGCAAATCTTTTATCATCAAGCAAGAAAGCTAAAGCTCTGTAGGGGTGTAGTGTGTTAGTCACCCTTTGGGTCATATGGTTGGAAATAGAAAGAAGAAATTTTTAAGGTTTTCGCGGGTTGGGGATGAATGAAGTTTGGGGTAAGGCCAGATTTAATTTGGTCATCTCTTTGGGCTTCAGTATGTACAGAATTCAAGGATATTCTTCTTGACTGATAGGTTGCAGTATGTTAGGATCATTTAGTTAGTGTTTGGGCGCCCTTCTGGGTCCCAACTTTGCTCTGTATCGGATGGGATGTTTGAATGTTTGATTTATTCTTTTTCCATCTTACTGTATGTCTTTGGAGTGGATTCCTTGTCCACTGATGTGTAAAGATTAGAATTAATAAACTGCATTTCTTGTACCAAACAAAACTAAAAAAAATGACTAAAACACATAAATTCCAGCGTTAAAGCACCCTTAAGAAGCATATAAAACACGAACCTCAATCATTACAGGAAATTGTATAGGTCGTATAAATAAGAAACATCACCTAGACCAGCTTCAAATGTGGTTGCAAAAGGTAAATCCGAACTCTAAATACAACATACAACCATAAAATTTAACAGCGCATATGCCAAGAGGAACAAGAACAATCACACTATTGAACCAGTGTTCATATCATAGAGACAATACCTTTCTTTGGAATGATTATAGAAGTTGGAAACATGGCCCCACAATGTCTTCTCAAATGTCTCCCAGGTCCTATCAACATCTTCAAAATATTCTCTAATATGCACCAAATAAAAAATTAAAAAAGAAATAAGTCATCAAGCCTCAAATCACAAACTGTGCCTTGAAACATCAATAGATAAAACAAACAGGTAAAAATGTCATCATCATGGCCATTATCATTACCCAGCAACTTATCAAGCCAACCCCAATGTTCAAATCGACCCAAACAGAACCACATAATCTGCTTAGATGATTTAGCAACTGCAAATACTGATCGACAACATCATATTGTCTCACTCACTCGCTCGCTAAGGGTTCGAAAAGGATTATGGAGGACTGACAGGTAGTTAGAGCTCATCATAGGTATTGAGATTACCAAAAAGAACTATAAATGCCACAGTGAAGTAGAGAAGAGGATGCATATATACCTAAGCCTGGCAACCTCTTCCTTGTGAGATCCTGCAGCTGCTAATGCAAACCTCCGCTTTCCATCAAGAGCTGTTAGCCTCTATAGCAAATATGAAAATGAAAAGATTGGACCATAAAGATACAATTAATGTGCAAATTTTGCTGAGCTATCTTAATCGATAAGTTAATTTAATGATGACAAATATAGAGCTAAAACCAAAATAACCAAAAGTTAAAGAAATTAGGCCCAAATGAAAGAGGTGCAACAGACTAAAAATTGCAACACTACTTTTACCTCATATGTATTAATGAGTTCTTTATCATCACTCAAAGAATCCCGTGCCTCAGCGGCTTCAACAGAAATTGACATCATACCCTCAACATCCTACCAAAGATCAAGATTAACTAGTGAGCACCATAGAACAATGCAAGAGATCACTATCTGAATACGTCCCGAAGCTTCACAGATATAGGTTCAAACCTTTTTTTTTGTGTAGGAAAGGAATGAATATGTTAAGAAAAATATGGAAGTATGCAATGAAATTGGACCAGAAGTGAAAAACAAGATACAACCCTCAAGCTACAAGAAAATTAAGAACAGAGTAGACACAAAACATCAACCATCCTAATCCAGAAAACATCAATAAGCAAAAACCAAACATACAATATTAAAACTTCCACCCAAACTAGAAGAAAACCACTAAAGGCAATATCTCTAAAATGTTTAGGTAAAATTCGAAAAGAGTACATCCAAATTTTCCCGAGTTCAAATATAATGGATGAGAGTTTGTTGTGTTGTTGGATTTTTAAAAAGAAGTACATCTAGATTTGTACTTAACAAAAAAAAAAAAAATTCAACATTATTAACATAAATGAATAGGCGCCTTCTAGCCCAATTGTTTCCCTTTTTTAAAAGAGTAATAATACAAAGGACATGAGAACAAACCCTAGAATTTGGATACCAAATGATGTGTCACTGCCCTATGAAGTTGTCTTTGGCTTAAGTTGTTTAGAGAGACAAGCTGGGTTTTTCCAAGGGGCTGTTTTTCATTTCTTTGTGACAGCCTTAAAATGATATGCAAGGATAAGAAGGAAAAACTCATGTGCGGCTGTATGGTTTTGGCTGTGCTTTGGGTGGTTTGGTTAGAGAGAAGGTCTTTGAAGACTACATTGGTGTGGAGGTTGAGTAGTTATGGGGAAAAGTTTGTTTTTGGTCAGCTCTCTGAGCGTCTGTCTCCAGAGATTTAGTGGTTTATCTTTCTCAATTATTTGCCCAGATTGGCATGCTGCAGTGCATAAGTTCAGTCTTTTGTATATTTCATTTTGTCTTCTGTAGTGGTCCTCTTGTCCACTATCTTTTCCCTTCGTAACTTTATTTTATTTTATTTTATAGCAATAAAATTGTCTTTACGAAAAATAAAAAATTGATGTTTCAGTGCTTTATTTGTTCATATAGGCTCTAACTGAAACTCATTCATTTATAACATACAAGACACCGACATATTTTTCTGTTTTAAAGAAACATAATTTTATTAAACTAGGAAGCCATGTTAAAACCTCTTAATTGCAACATATTTGCATAGTTCATTTTTTTTAGAAAGAGAATTCATTCATAAAACCAAAGACATACAACAAGCAACATCATATTTCCTTAAACACTATAAAAACGAGGTTATATTATTTTATGGTTTATTTTATGCCCCGACCAGTCGCCAATAAAATTCAATCTTTAAAGAAAAGGTTTGAAAATTATTGTGAAGTAGATATTGAGAGCAGTTGGAGCATGCATATTGACCATTTCGTGATTTTGTTTTGTGGTCTGAGTTAATAGTCAACTTGGATTATGATTGTTACCAGCAAGTCCACAAAGCAAAAGCTTAATCATTGCACTAAATCAAAAGGCTTTGTAGCTTTATTGTCACTTAAAGGAAACACAGTGTGATGGCTCTTTGCCAAAATACATGTCTCACACTTAAAATTGGACTAATCATAAGAGCGAAATGAAGATGGAAACAAACGCTTAAGGTAGCCAAACAATAGGTGTCCGAAGCGACGATGCCATAACCAAATTTGTTGTTTGTCTTTGACACTGCAACTTTGAACAGTATTAATGACACGATCACGAATTGGTGCGGCAGGCAATGTCAAATAATATAACCCCCTATCCGTTTACCATACTCAATCGTCTCGTAAATCTTGAGATCCTGAAAAGAGCAATGTGTGAGATAAAAAGTAGCAGAAGCATTAAGTTTATCAAATAATTGACCAACATATAACAAGTTACAATGGATAGTGGGAACTAGTAATGCATGAGACAATGATATAGTAGAAGTAAGAGAGATTGTGCCCTCGCCGCTAATTGGAAAGGGCAAGCCATTAACACTAGTTATGTATAGGTCACGGGTGTTACTAGACAACTCATCAAAAAATTTAGCATAATAAGTCATATGATCAGTAGCACTAGTGTCAATTATTCAAGTATTAGAGACAATACTTGGAATAGAGCCAGAAACACATAAATTTGTAGAAGCAGCAGCAACAACACCAACAATGGAGTTATCACCCATGATTGCAGCGGAAACTCAACAAATCACGGCAAAGTACACAACGGAACACAACAGAGGTACAAATACGGCAGATGCACGAAGACGGGAACGGCACAAATACAGTGGAGGCACGAACACTATAACACAACACACAAACCCAGGAGGGCACACACGGCACAGGTAGGAAAAAAAAAAAAGGGTCTAGAACATGGGTGGGCACAACACACAAGTCGCCAAAAAGTCGGCTCTGATGCCAAGTCAAACAATACGGGTTAGAATATTTTCATTCTCCAAAAGGAGGTATTTATAATACAAATGCGTAAACCCTAGTAGGGTTATACAAGAAAACAAATAAACTCCTAATTACACAAAATTTAAACAAAAGAGAAAGAAATAAAATCATAATAAAATAGAAAATAAATCTCCTAATCAAACTAAAATCTCACCAACAAAAAGATGCTCATGTTGGAGTTAAAAGTTTCTGTTGATTGTTGGTATGTAAACCACGGGGGACTGAAAGACATCTACAAAACTAGCGTTGGTGTGTGTCATTCTTATTCGACTTATCCAAATTGACCTGTTTATTTGATAGTGGCCTCTCGGCTTATTAGAAATGGAGAATATTGCTTTACATCCTTTGGGGTAAAGACAAAGCTAAAAGGAAAAAATTAGACGTTTTAACAAAAGTTCAAACCCCCCTTTGATGTTGCAACGCTTACTTGATCCATTGAAGACCCCTCAATTCATCCGTTTCTTTCGTTCTTCCTACATTTCACTACTACAAAAATTGAAATAGACGACGGTAATTCACCGTCGTGTATTTGGTTTTTCAACCATCGTGAAATTGACCGACATCTTTTGATGTATAAAACCACGACGGTAAATACCCGTCATCTATTATTTGTAAAGATGATGCTTTTACTCAAAACCGTCGTCTATTTACATATAATAGACTACGGTTTGAGTAAAAGCGTCGTCTATTTGATGTAAAGGCGACGGTTTTTTTAAAAGAACTGTCGTCTATTTGATGTAAAGACGACGATTTTTGTGAAAAACTGTCGTCTATTTGATGTAAAGGCGATGGTTCTTTTTAAAGAACTATGTTTTATTATATCCAAAGACGTTGGTATTTGTTAAAAAGTGTCGTTGATTGTATATAAAAAAGACGTTATGGTGTTAAAATAGGTCATTGATAATATATAAAGATGACGATTTTTCCAATAAAACCATCGTTGAGCAAGTAACCCATATTAATAGCATCATTGAGCAAATATCATTCAGACTTCAGAGTACTAGAGACTTCAAATGAGATAAATACCAAACAAAAACAAACCAAGAAACAAAAACCATAGAATTCTATAACCAGAATAGGAAAGGCAGTGGACCCATAATGTTAAAATCTTAAAGCATTTCATCATTTTCTATGAAAAACATACAAATTCTGAAAACTGGATAAGAAAGTAAGACATGCCCACTAAAGAAAATAACAAATCAATAAATTCCAATAAAATAGTGAGCATATATAACATACCTTCCCTTCTTCTGAACAATGCAGAAGCTTTTAGAACCAAACCCAAGGACCCTTCTACTATAGCCCCAGTTTGTAATGGAATTGCAAGGGGTTTTTTCAAAACTACAGTTACTATTCAAGTTAACCCAAAGACTGCAAGAAGCCATAGCCACAACCATTTTAAGCTTAAAAATTAACAAACGAAAAATCAGAGATTCAGAATGAAGGAGGAGTTAGAGTGAAAAAGAGGGAAGGAAGAAGAGAAGAGAAAGTAGAGAAGAGGAAGAAGGAAAGAAAAAGGAACGAGACTGGGAAGGAAAGAAAAAGGAACGGGTCTGGGAAGGAAAGAAGAAGAAAAGAGGAAGAAAGAAAGAAAAGGAGAAAAAGGAGAAAAGAAAAAAGAAAAAAGAAAGGGGATAAAATATAGTTTTATCTTTTAAAAAACAATAGAATTTTTCATTCGTTAAATTATACATTTTTAAAAATATTTTTTCAAAACAGAAATAAGCAAAAATACCCTTGAAAAATAATTCACATAATATTATTCTCAATTCGTACTACCATATATATTTTTATTGTTTATAATAATTTTAGCCTCTAAAAATATCAGAATTTAAAAAAAAATAATAGAACTGAAATTATCAAAAATACACCTGAAAAACAATTGTACTATCAAACACGTTTTCATTGTTTTTATTTTCTGAAGATGTTTTCTAATTATCTACCAGACGCATTTTCATTTCCTGAAAATGCAAATTTGTTTTCTTGTTTTCATTCTCTGAAAACACTATCTGAAAACGTTACCAGACGGGCCCTTAATTTCCGTCATTTATGAAATTCTTTGTGCTTTTAAATTTCCTCATCCAAACGCAGGGAATTGAGAGAGAATTTAAGAGAGTATGAATATGGAGAAAGCCATAGAAATATTCTCTAGACCGGTTCTTCACCTTATTGTTCTTATTAATTCATATGCCTATTTATAGGCATAATAGTCCTTATAATATTACAATGGTAAGTTGATACATACATCATTAATGAGTTATATAGCACCAATAGTTAGGTATGGTGGGCATCCATTATTTGTACATTTATAACACTCCCCTTTGGATGTCCACTATGCATGGAATATGCCTCATTAAAAACTTTTCCAATAAAACCCAACGGGAGAAAAACTAGTCGAAGGGAAAAAGAGTACATAATCATGTGTAGCATAAAACTTTGTCATGTATATAATGAACACTAACTAGCGTGCGACACTGCCTCGTTAAAACCTTGCCAGTAAAAACCCAGCGAGATAAAAAAACTTGGATGAAGGAAAAAGAGTACAGTGTGTGAACATCTTTATTGATAGCACACTCCCCTTGATGTTTGCAAAATATCCTTAAGCCATACTGTTGATCATCTTTCTGAATGTCATAGTTAACACTGCTTTTGTGAATTAATCTTGTTATATTGTTGGATGCTCCCCCTAAAGAATTACTCCCCTTGATGTATTCATACTTTTTTGATGGTCCAACATAAATGATATTGACATCACATTTGTACTTCACGAAGTGATCTTTGATAGTGCTTACATAAAAACTTGTTGTCGCGACATTAACATCATTAGAGGATGTATAAGTGTCTTCATTTATTTAATCCCTGTTGAGGTTAGAATAATACCAACAAAAAAATATCTAGGCTACTTTCGTAAGCCTTTCACTTCATATAATGGCTTGATTTTCATATGCTATATTAAAATAATAATAATGACCTCATATTGAGCATTAAATATTTATCTGGTATAATCAGTCATTCACACATATCCTTGTATGTTTTGAGAATATCGCATATCTTATTCCATATATATCATTGTATATTTTGAGAATAATTGCATATGTTATTCCATAGGCTCTTCATGAGTCTAAATATTTCTCATAACTCTAAACATTTGAATACGCTGCAACATCTTTAAATTTGAATTCAATCAAAGTACTTTTTGAGTCAATTTATACATATTGATATTGAGTACAAATTTTGTGCTTCAGGCACATGTCTTTCAGAGACTTGCTTCATGCAATTTTAATCCTTCAGGAATTTTATTTTAGGGATTACACTTCATGACACATTATATAGCTTTATATCAAGCTATTTGCTATGCTTGTACATCTTCAGGGAATCACTTCTGGCGATATGCTCTGTGCACTTAATAACCCTTAAAGATAACATGTTGGTCTCTGTAAATGTGCAATAAGAATGCACTATTGCATCTGTAAACATGGAGTATCTCAACATTCCTTGTTTCTACCAAACATTGTGTCATATAAAGTGAGTATATTCCTCTTTATTCCGAACACCTATGTATAACATGCAGGGTTAACATCTTTTTGGAGTTCGTACTATGGGTTTGTTCTTTCACGTTCATTCTCAACTGTAATGGAATTGTCTCAATTGGTGGTTCAATTGTGATAAGGAACACATGCCTTAGCTCTCTCTCACCTCTTTAAAGGTAATAATTTGAATGTTGGTATGTATGTGTCCTTGTGTTGATTGATGACACAAAGGCACACACATCACCAACCTTCAACATATTATCTTTCTCAAATTGGTGGTTCGATTGTGATGAGGAACACAGGCTCCCACTAGTACGATTTCCTATCTCTTGGGATCTCATTTGCCTTTCTCTGATGATTTCATTTACTACATTTAGTAAATAAGCACCATAATAATTGTTTATGAATTTTATGCATTCACCATGAAAATACAACCTAACTCCCAAGTTAAACATGTCAGAAAAATTAACATATTGGAAATGAAACTTTCCCAGCCGATTTGATCGAAATTTGCAAAAAATAACAATGATCTACTGTCGTTTGTTTGGCTATATAAATTATGCCCAGAAATAAATCTTAAAAAAAAATAAAAATTACACTGACGATGGTAGTTACAAAATGACCGTCGTATAACGGAAATACAGACGACAGTATTTCCAATTATCATCGTCATATATGCTACAAAAACACAGAAATTAAATCTTAAATACGACGTCGTTGATTATGTAATTATCATCGTCGTAGTCAGTTAAAACGTCGATAGGTTGGTAAAGAGCGACATTGTTCGAAGTTACGACGAAGTCAATTATCTATTTACTGTCGTTGTAGTCCGTTAAGACATCTTTACGAATCTACTACCATCGTCGTTTGTGAATTAACGTGGCAAATTAATGGGACCCATCTGGATGTAAAGATAAATTGGGGATGTTCATGTGTTCTTTCACTTTTCACTTAGGGTTCCAACTCTAACTCAAGCCGCATACTTCTAGCCCATGGCCGCCGTCATCACTTCAGGCCTTGGCTCTCTCTTACCTCTCTGAAGATTCGGAGGCAAAAAATTGGATGTTGGTATGTATGTGTGTTTGTGATGACACAATCACACATACATCACCAACTTTTAAAATATTGTCTTTTTCAAATTGGTGGTTCGATTGTGATGAGGAACACATTTGCCATTGGTAAGATTATATATCTCTTGGGATCTCATTTGCCTTTCTCTGATGATTTCATTTAGTAGATAAGCCTAAAAATTATATCGCATACGACATTTTTTTATATAAATCGTCGTGTTTTTACGTATTACTTGTAATTTTGTTGATCTACCGTGGTATGCTACCAAAACCCATAAAATATATCTTAAAAAAGCAATACACAGACGACAGTAGTTACAGAACGGCTGTCGTATAACGAAAGTATAGACGTCGGTATATCTAACAACTGTCGTCATAGGCTAAAAACCAGAAATTAATCTTAAAAAGCAATACAAATTTCAGACGACGGTAGTTACAGAACGACAGTTGTATAAAGGAAATATGGATGACGATATTTTTGCAATTATCAATGTGGATAAGTTAAAATTTACCGTTGTAGTACAAGAACACTTCATACTTCATGAATTTATTTTTAAGCTGTGGTATATTAAATTAATATAATACTCATTATGAAGAAACCGTGGTGGTTAGGTACGAAAAACCCCGACGCTACATTCTACAATAACGACATGGTAAAGTACATTTACCACGACCATTTATTTATAAAGACCGTCATGGTGTACGTACTTAATATGTCGTATAATAGTAAAAAAGCAACGTGGATATGTTTAAATGTAGACTTCGTTATCTACATTACTAGTGTCGTGGTTGACTATAACTTTAAATGACATTAAGTTTATAATTATCGTTGTAGTACAACAGAACTTTATACGTCGTAAAGACGACAATTACTGTCATGGTTACATACAAGTTAACACAGCAGCAACTAGGTAAAACGTCGTCTTTAATGTCTATGTCGATAGCTTTATACCTACTGTCGTTTTTTTGGGTTAAGTGTTTACATAACTGGAAATTACATGTTTCGCAAGACGATACTTTTGAAGTTTGAGGCGTCTTGTTTTAAAAATACCCCAACGGATCTTGATTTTTGAGGTGTTTAAGTTACTGATCCACGACGGTTTTCTATTACCGTTGTCTTCTAAACACAACAACTGTATTTATTTTTTTCATCGTTGTTTTACTGTCGTCTTTTTCAATTTTTGTAGCAGTGGATGTGTAACATAGGGACCACACCATACTAGTATTGGGGATGAGCGATCTAACACAAGGGCCACACCAGAAAGTACATTGAAATTATTCCCAACACAAAATTTCTAAGATGAGATGATGAGACTTTTACCCTTGAAGCTCAACCTTGGATGATCTCCAAGTTCACACCTTTGATGGAAGGCCTTCTTCCTTAAATGCGCTTCATAGGTTATCACAAAATGCCTTTAACCGGAGAAAAACTTTCCTGGCACGGGGATGCCAGGTCAGTTTTCCACCTCATTATCCCAAGCCAATAGGATATTGCCACTTGTCAATCTTTTTAAAAACTTTCAAAAATATATTATTATAAAAAAAAAAAATCAACCAAAAAGTAGAGTTTCTCTCTCATCCAATCTCTACATCCGTGCCAGCCCTTTAACTTCCCAATTAATTTTTTGTTTTCCTACTTTTTTGCACAATACCCTCCCATTCCCGCCTCTTTTCTCTTCTATGCAAAAACCCTTCTTCGAAGTCGTCTTTTTCTCTTCAGCAACAACGACTCCTTCATACATAGACACCAGGTATTGATTTCTCTATTTTTCTTTTTCGTTTAAATTTTTTTACTGTAATCTACTGGTTTTCATTGTTGTCCATGTTCTATTTGTGGATAAACTATTGATTTTGCAGTCTGGTATATTTATTTTTCTTTCCCCTGTTATCCTTTGTTTTTTTCTCTGCTTAATCTTTAAAATAACTCTTGAAATTTTATATTACCTAGAAGGATTTGATCAATAATTTTTTTTGTTGCTATTGTTATCCTTTGTTTTTTTCTCTGCTTAATCTTTAAAATAATTCTTGAAATTTTATATTACCTAGAAGGATATGATCAGTAATTTTGTTGTTGCTATTATTGTAAAAATTGCTTACTCTTCATGTGAATTTTGATTTCCTGTAAGTGAAAAGCTAATTTACATGCTATGTATATATATCTCTTCTTACCTTTTGAATTTTGTTATTTTGTTATATGAAATACAAAAGGTTGTTGATTTGGGTATGGAATCTGATTGTCGAAAGGAAACGTTAGAAATAAATGAAGAGGAAAATTTATTTGACGGTGACGAATTAAGAGTGGGAATGGAGGTGTGTAATGAAGTTCAAGCATATAATCTGTGCAACTCTTATGCATTGAAGAAAGGATTTAGCATTCGTAAAGGAAATATTCAAAGAGATGCAAAAAACAATATCCGACAACGAGACTATTTGTGTTCAAAGCAAGGGTTTTATGATGACCTTTGTGAAGTGAAGACAGTTCATCAATTGGATACAAGGACAGGTTGTAGGGCTTTAATTCGATTCACTGTGGATGATGGTGTGTGGAAGATAAGTCATATAAATTCAGATCATAATCATGAGTTTGCTAAGCTTGAAGAAAGACAATTTCTCAAATCTGGTCGGAAGATACAAAAGGCTCACGCAAATGTTATGTCTTCTATGGTTGAAGCAGGTATAAGGCCAACAAAGTCGTATTCGTATTTGGCAAAAGAAGTTGGTGGTTATGAGAATGTTGGGTTCACTAAGAAAGATTGTCTAAATTATTTGCATAGGAAGAAGGAAGAATTGATTGAAGGAGGGGATGCACAAAGTTTGATCAATCATTTTAAGCATAAACAAGCTGAGGATCCTAATTTTTTCTATAGTGTTCAAGTGGATCAGTGTACTCGGATGATGAATTTTTTTTGGAGAGATGGTAGATCAAAGTTAGACTATGATTGCTTTGGAGATGTTCTATGCTTTGATACTACTTTTCGGACCAACAAATACAACCTAATATGTGCTCCATTTGTGGGAGTTAATCATCATTGGAAAAATGTCTTACTTGATTGTGCTTTTTTATTGGATGAAAGCACAAAATCATTTGTTTGGTTGTTTGAAACTTTTTTGGAGTCAATGGGAAACAAACACCTGATAACCATTTTCACGGATGAGGATAAAGCGATGGCAAATGCAATTGAGATTGTATTTCCACAAACACGCCATCGATTATGTACTTGGCATATCGCTAAAAATGCTACTCAACCTCTTGCTGGTCTTTATACTAACCCAGAGTTTAGCAATTATTTCAACAAGTGCTTCTATGGTTGTTTTAGTGAATCAGAATTTGAAGACACATGGGATCACATGATTAAAACCTTCAAGCTTGAGAATCATTCGTGGCTGTAAAAGTTATATTCACTTAGAAGAAAATGGTGTTCTGCTTTCAACTTAGATTTTTTCTCAGCTAATATTAGATCTACCCAAAAGGTTGAGAGCACAAACAATATTTTTCATCAGATTTCTACAAAAACAATGAGTCTCACTAGTTTGTGCAACACTATGAGCAAAAAACAGCATATATGAGATTGGCAGAGTTGGAAGAGGATTTTCATTGTAAAAATGGAATGCCTCATCTTAAAGCAAAGAGTGGTATCTTTAAGCAAGTAGCTAGTGAGTATACCATTAAGATCTTTCCATTCTTTGAAAAGGAGCTGTTGGGTTGTTTTGAGGTTAGGTTGGATGAAGTTTGTAATATTGGTACAAAATATGTTTTTGAAGCAATTGAAGAAGGCCATGAAAGGGTTTACAAAATCCATTTTGACTCCATAACTTTCAATATTTCTTGTTCGTGTAAGTTATTTGAAATCAAGGGATTGCTATGTCGTCATGCCTTGAAAGTGTTAGATTCCAAAAATATCACAAGTATACCAAGTCAATACATATTGAAGAGATGGACTAAAGGGGCCAAGAAAGGAATTGTGGTGAATAGTGACTTATGTGAATCTTATAATAAGAAGGTGAGATCTGCCCAATCATTGTGTCTGAGTGAGTTGATGCATGAAGCAAATAATGTTGTTAGTGTAGCATCATTATCTGATTCAGGAACAAGGCTTGTCAAACAAAAGTTAGCAGAGGTTATGATGTTACTTGAAAGTGATATGGAAATTACTAGATCTAAGGAAAATTTAAATAGCATTGGTGACCAAACTCTTCATGATGTGCTCATTGCTAAGCCACCAATTTTGAATCCCCCCACCATAAGGGCTAAAGGCATAACAAATGCTAGGATAAAAAGTCAATTGGAGAAGAAAAGAAAAAAAGAAAAAAAGAAAGACGCAAGAGTTGGAAATTCCTCTCGAACTTCAAGGCCTACCACCATGGCTGCAAGTAAGAATTATTTTCTTCAAGTTGTTTTTAACTAGATTGATATTAATTAGGTTTCAACTATTTTTTCTAGTATTTAATTTCATGTGCTAATAATTTTTTTTTTGTAGGTCAATCTGAGAAAGAAACCAACAGTGTTCCGCCTCATTCAACTCATTATAATCCATCATTGCATCACTTTGGTGTACTTATTCTTACACTTCATTATTTTGATGGTTAATTTTAATGTTTATCTCCTAATGTTATATGTATTTTTAGGATATTCCAAGCCATACTTTTGGTCATCCGAATTTTCAATTTACAACCATGCTTCAAGGAAGTGATCAAATGCCTTACTTGAGTCAGGTATATGAATTTAATATATACTCATGGGGTAAAGAAATCAGATATTTCTAACTAGAGATTATTTTATGATGCATTAGGATTCATCTACAACTTTGAATGCAAATTTCACATTTGGACAATCAACTAATTTAAATCAGGTTTGACTCATGATATAAAATTTACTTTTAATTGTGTTAATTTCCATATTGATTCATGGATTAAGTTGTGATGCAGAATGTGTATTTCAATAGTTTGAACCAATTGCGTCGGTGATATGATTGATAAGGGCTGGTTGATGTCTTTTTATGGGTTTGAAATCTATCTCAAGGTTATGACAATAGGTACGTAGATATTTTTTTATTCATAATATGAACGTCTGAAGGATGTGCTATGCTTTGTATTAGTTTTCTAATTTTTGTTTGGACATCTTATTTGAACAGGTGTAATGTGCTCATTTTGATGTATAAAGACCAACATATTTTGCAAAAGGAGAACAATATAAACTATACCAACATATTTTGCAAAAGGAGAACAATATAATCTTTAGTTTGGCAAAATTACATTTTTGTAAATGTGACATAGTGTTCTCCTTTTCTTTTTGTTATGTTATTTGGCCGAGGTTACACTTTTGTACAAGGGAATAATTCCTTTTCCTTTTTGTTGCACTATTTGGCCAAAAGACTACTTGTGTACATGACATTAAGTTTGTGCTATTACTTGATATGCTATTTGAAGAAGGATTAGTGAATTATAAATCTATTTATGCAAGTTACCCATGTTACACTTGATCAAAGAAATTTAACATATATCTTTTTTGAGTTACTGATATCAGGCGAAAAGAAAAAAAACTTCTTCTTTTAGTTATTAATATCAGAAACAAAATTGTACAGCAAACTAAATTTTATTAGCATTACTTCATTATTTTTTTTAAAAAATGTCATTAGTTGTAGTAATAAAATAAATCACTTTGTTAAAAAGATAAAGTATAAACAAATTCTATGGATAGAAGAGAGGAAGGAGAGGGATTGAACAAAGACAGGAACGATTTTGAACAAATGGAAGGCTTTTCCATAAGAAACGGAAGAGGAATGGCAAAAAAAGAAAAGAAGGTAAAACATTAACTGAGTTTGGGAAAGAAAAAAAAATTAATTGGTTAGTAAAAGGGCTGGCACGGAGTCCATAAGAAACGGAAGAGGAATGGCAAAAAAAGAAAAGAAGGTAAAACATTAACTGAGTTTGGGAAAGAAAAAAAAATTAATTGGTTAGTAAAAGGGCTGGCACGGAGGTAGAGATGGGATGAGAGAGAAATTTTATTTTTTGGTTGCTTTTATTGATTAAAATATATTATTAAAAGTTTTTAAAGAAAATTGGCATGTGGCAGTATTTTATTGGCTTGGGATAAGGAGGTGGAAAACTGATCTGGCATCCCCGTGCTTGGAAAGTTTTTCTCCTTTAACCGAGTCCATCATCAAACTAATTTCATAATTAACAATTTAATTATGATTATGACTTAACCATTAAGTCCTAACCATAGTGACACTACAACAATAATTGAAATAGACAACACTCAATAGACGACGAATGTACTAAATACTGTCATCTTAATTTGTCAGACGATAGTTTGTCATAAAACCATCGTCTAGTAAGGTGTAAAATGTTTGAAAGACGACGGTTTTAACAAACCGTCATGTGTCTTATTTGCATCAAATGCAAAATCTAGAAACACTATTACTATGCAGAGCTTACTTAATTTTTTTTTTTAAGAAAAAAAAATTATGTATACCAAAAAGAAAGACTTAGGCCCCGTTTGGTTCACGGAATGAATTTGATGGGAAATCATTTCCCATGTCATTTCCCAAGGGATGGGAAATGTTGATTCCTGTCCCATGTTTGGTAATGCCAGGAAAGTGATCCGGAAATATCACTTTATTTCCTTTCCCATGTTTGTTTTGAGTAGGAATGGAAAACAAATTTTGTTTAGTTTCCCAATTGTACCCCTATTAAAAAAAAAAGAATACCAATAATTGTTGGATAAAAATTGTAATTATGAATTGTTAGTAAGGACAAATTAGTCAAAAAAAATTGTATTTAATGCTAGTTTTACTTTCCCATGTGCTAGGAATCGCTTTCCCATGCCTGACTTACCAAACATGGGAAA